TTTTCCTTGCTGGGAACCTTGGTGCTGCCCAGCCATCTAGTGACCATGAGGGAAAAGCCAAGAGGACTGGAAAGATAACTATGAATGTCCAGACTTTGGTAGGTGCTCGCTAAACCCGCTACCGCCACCTCCAGGCTGTAGAGTTTGCAAAATAATTAAATGCCTTTATTGTTTAAGTCACTATTGGCCAGGGATTCTGTTCCTTGCAGTTAAAAGCATTCTTCACTTAAGTGAAAGCAATTGTTCAGGAAAAGCCTACATCAACTATGCTGGAAGCGTGACTGAGGAACGGAAAGAAAGTATCATTTATTTACATCATCAGAATCTATATGCAAGACCTGATTTTAAACTACCTATGTGATGCCTAACACTGGCTATTATATTTGTAATCTTGATAGAGTCATATTTGTTCATCTTTGTTTTGCAGTATAAGTCATTTGAATATGAATTATTCCCCTGAGAGTTTAGGCCTTCAGGAGAAAGCCTCAACTTAATGAAAACATGAGACAGAGCACATAAGCACTGTTTAGTTTGCTGTTGGCAGTCTATTATCACAGTTTTCAGAAATGCATGTTCTTTACTGAGTAAACGCATTTACCTAAAGCGCGTATGTAGCTCTGGGGCACATAAATACCATTAGTGCCAGTGGAGTTATGGGCAAGAGAATGCATAGAACATATGGTCACAATTTGCCTATTATTACAGAGAAGGAAGAGAGGACACCTATGTGAGACAGGCGTATATCTGTCTGATAGAATATAATTTACTCTAAATGCAAAGCAGTTTGTCAGAGTCCTTCACCATGGGTCCAAAAAAATTGATTAGAAGAGTTTTCATAAGAGAATTCCTCAAATGAGTGATCATTTCCCAAGTAGAAATTGCCTGTAACTTTCCTAATTGATGTAAAAGGTGTGGGGTTTATATTTTACATGGGCATTCATGCTGCGTCAAATCTCAGGAAACAAAACTACTCACAGTCAGCAGCATTTTGGGGACGTAAAGAGACAAACTCTGGACAAATAACTAGTACATATACTTCTCAGAAAATGTTTAGAAATTCCTTGGCAATATTTCATTTTACGGCCAAACTAAAACTTTTTATTATGATCTATAAATATTCTAACCATAATTTATCAAAAATAACAACTTTTATCAAAGTTGGTAGCAGGTTTTGTGCTATGATTTGGCCTGCATTATTGCATTTTATCTTTAAAACACCTTTCAGAGAGTAGGGACTATTTTACCTCCTCATCAGTGAGGAAAGAGGTTTACGTAGGTTAAAAGGCTTCTCTGAAAATGTTTTGCAGCTAGTAGAGGGTAGATACAGAACTTGAACCAGTTTAGTTTGATTTCAAATCTGAAACTCTTCACCACCACCACGTTGGTTCTCAGATTTTAGTGTAATAAAAAACTCTTGGAGCCCTATTAATAATAAACATTTCTGGCTTGGTCCCCATTGCTTCTAGTTTGGATGGTCCGGGGCCTAGGAACCTGCATTCCTATGAAGCATTCCAGGGGATTCTCATGAAAGTGACTCAAGGCCACACCTTGAGAAACATGGCCTTATCTTCTGTTGCCTGCCATTTAAAGTCATAATGGACTTGGTATTTAGATGGCAAGAAATAGTATCACTTCTCATTAAAAATACAAAGTAGATCATGTATTAGCTTATTACAAGAAAATGTGTAATGAAGAAAAAAATTCAATTAATAATTTGATATATTAATTCAAGAAGATGTATTTTCATTATTCAGGAAAGAAGGATTCTTGGTAATATTTTTGGACAAATTTCAATGTCCCATTTTCTCATAGACCAGAGGGATTGCAATGAAAGATGATGAAGGTGACAGTGGGAGTTTCTGACTTGCAAAAATAAAACCCTACTTATTTGTAGCTTAGATAAGCTTTCCCACACATAACTCTACTTATCAAAGGCCCATGACAGCAAAAACATCAAGAGAACTAATCATTTCAGAAAGAAAAGAGAGACATGAATGGAAGGGTTATGAAATTTTCAACTACTACACCAACAAAGGCACCATATCCCATGCTGGGATATAAAATGGTTAGTAGACACTCTTTTTGGACTAGTTGAACAACCAATCTGGACAATTTAAATATAAAGTTCAATTATCAATCAAATAGGTTAGGGCTTCTTGGCCCTCAATTATGGATGCTCAAGACTATACTGGCATTGCCTAAATGAAATGAATTAATTTATTCTCTGCCAGATGTGATCCCACCCAGCAGGGTACTCAACACTGTCAAACTTTGCATTCATTCCTAGTTGATTCCTATCTCATTTATCATAACAGCTATTTTGAATCTTTCCCCATGCCTTTCAAGTTCCCAGATCCATCCCAAAGACCCTCACTTTCCATACATGAACCTGCTCCGGCCATCCATGTATTCCCTCTATTTTATTTCCTTCCACACTGAGTTTCTTAATCAATGTCAAGCATCTTTTCACGGCTGCTCAGATCAAGATAAGGACAGTTTTCATTTCCTTCCAAGGATAACTCCTCCACCTGAGTAGATCCCATTATATGCTGTTTTCTCTAGAACCTTGTTCCCTTCTCAGCAAACATCTATTAGTCACCCACAGTGTTCCAGACACTATTTTAGGCACTGGCAACACAAAGATGAAAAGACAGGAATCTGCCTTGAAGCAGCGTAAAGGATGGTGTTGGAGACAGATGATAACAGTAGTGAGTGCAAGTGTAGTGGGACCAGGGGCACTTAGGTTTATGTACCTGGAGACAAAAGGGACTTCACCTAGGAAACAGCTGAGATGTTCAAGATAAATAAAAGTTAATCAAGTAGATAACCTGGAGAAGTGAAATGAAGAAGTGAAACGACACAGAGGCTCGGCGAGCATGGTATGGCCAAGCAACTATAAGTAGTCTGCCAGCAATGGAAAAAGGTCCCGGGGAGTTGGTGAGAATGAATGCTATGGAGTTCAGAGTTTAAGGTTATAATGAAGCACTGAAGCACTGGTGCTATCTGAGGTTTATGTGAGAAAGCTCACTCTGGAGACATCATCACAGAGGAATTAGAATAATGAACAGCAAGAGGCCAGTAGCCCATGATCTAGGGAGATTGAATGCTTGCTTTGAAGCAATAGTGGTAGAGACAGAGAATTATGATGAACAAAAAAATACATTTTGGTGATATTATAGAACTTACTAATTTATTGAATGTTAGGGATAAGAAAGGGAGAAAAATGCAGAACGATCTCCAGGTTGTTGGTTTTGGTAACTAATTGTTGTGTCATCATTGGTGGACAGTTGGCTGGGCGCCTAACAGGACATATCCAATAGGCGACTGGATGTGGGGGTGTGCAACTCACAGATACTGACTTGGGCATTGGCAGTGTGGGCAGGCCAGGCGAGGTCACAGTTGCACGTAAGATTATCCAGGGAAAATACGGGAGTGTGAGAAAGGGTGAGAAACCATCCGCAGAGTCAACAGAGCCCAAATCCAAAATCCTCCAAAGACAACTGGGAAAAGGGGCTAGAAATGGAGACGGGAGTAGGGTGGCATCATGGGAACAAAAGCAAAGGACGTTCAAAAGAGGAAGTGAAAAGCTGTCAGAGGCTTCAGAGAGTTCAAAATGGGGCAAAAAGTGCCCCTTGGATTTAAGTAGAAAATTTCTCTCCCCAATTTATTCTTTTCCCTGCCTTTGCTGATACATAAATAACATGGTAAGTCCACTTATTCCCAATATAATTTCTTCCCTTAAGCACTTATCCTGTCATTCAGCTACTACTGCACTGAAATTTCTATCTTAAAATTTGCCAGTTATATCTTTTTCTTACCCACAAGTCACATTTTAAATGCCAACTACCTTGACCTTTCCTCTGTCATTATGCTATCTCTACAAAATTTTACAATGTGAAGCCCCTCTTTTTATATTGGCTATTTCACAGTGCACTCAGTTCTCCTCTTAGCTATTTTCAGTCTCCTACAGGGAGTCCCAATTTTTGTTAGGCTCTTTCAATAACTCTGTCCCCCCAAGAGTTAATCTTTGGTTCTTTCCTCTGCGAAATGCACATTTCACCTCCTCTACCCCCCAAGCATTCTCACAAGTCAGGAATATGAAGAGGATTTCCACAGTAATCCTGAACTAGATTTCCAACTGGAGAGCTACATGCAGAAGTCCTACCAAACCCAACGTGTCCCAATGAAACTTGCTCCCTTTACAGACTTGCCTCCCGATACAGTTGCCCACTTCCTGCCCTGTCACTGACGCCTCCGTCTCCCCTTTCATTTCCCATACACAGTCATCCCTCAGCCTGAGCTGGGCATTCTCTCCCTCTGCTCCTCATTTTCATATCTTCCCTCTGACATGCAAAACAGTTTCAATATGGGGGATCTGGACATGACAAAATCATGGTTTATTTCCCATCATAAAATAATACCAGCCATCAACATGTATCTAGTGTTCACTATATGTTAGGCACTATTCTAAGCACATTGTGTATGTTTTATTTTGACTGCTTCCCCTTCTGTGAATTTAGAAGAACAAGATGGTTTATCCCTTTCAATTGTGTCATATATATTTAGGAAGTCTGAATTATGTAATCCTTTTTCTGAGTAATAAAAAACTAAGTATTATGCAGTGAAGGTTAGCTCATTTTGCCATCAAAATTCTAGTAAGAGGCACTAAGAAGTGTCTAAAACACAACTACAGTTCTAATGATGATGACCTGAGGCACAGTTAAACCCTGAAATATCTTCTCTGTTACCAATAAAAGATTAAAACATGCTTCATAAAGCCTTGGTGCTCACAATTCCCCGTTCTTCCAAAAAGTGGTCACCTTTAAGTGTATACTTATGTGAATAATGTATAGGTCACTTCATCTGTCTCTGTAGAATGTTGCTATTTCCCAGTTATTTAAATGTTTCTAACCCCCAAGTCTTTTTCTTTTTCTCTTTGAAACCCACATGCACACACATTATCCCACCTTGATGAATAACAAAGAGTAAACCATACTTACTTGGAAAATCCAATTTTTGCAGAAACGTGTAAATCAGCAGAACAGTTTTCATGGGCACAAAACCTTGCAAAGTTTATCTGGAAATAAAACACGACTGTATTTTATTTTTAGTTCAATCAGTAGGTATAACTCTGTTTTTTAAAGACTAACATATCTATGATACACGAGAAGGATAATATTACTAAATCAGATTTATAATTCCTTGTTTTATCACTTTTTAAAGCCCATGCTGCCAAGATAGTCTTTGTCCAGTTCCTCTCAATTTTCTGATGCTTTGATTCCACTTATTACACATGAGCATGGCACTTAATTTTATAGACAATAGACAGCGATTTTATGTTTGTCAAAAATAAATTGTAGAAATTTAGAAATTTCACTTTAAGCATGCATTGAGCAAAATTAAATGATTGCCTGTCATAGAGGTTCTAGCATATACTTACTTCTGAGCATTTTAATAGGACCCAGACATACTACAAGGTACATGGGAAGACCTGAGTTAGAAGCTGGACAAAGAAAAAAATGGAAAGAAAGAAAGAGAGAAAAAAAAAAAGAGGCAAAGATGAAAAACAGTGAGATGCAGAAAAAAAAGAAACCCAGAAAGTAAGAGAAGGAGCCAGGTACACGAAGCGGCAAACGACTAGAGTGTTGTCAAATTGCATGTCAGATCGCAGACCGCCTATACCTGTGAGAACACAAGGAAAGTGTAAATCTTTCTCTAAATGATTAGGTAAATATGACTTTTTCTACCATCTTATTTGTAAAACAGGTTGTTCTAAGAGTCAAAATGTGAATTATTCTAATATAACTACAGATTGCTTAGGTTTTGGCTTGTGTAGTTATAATAAAGGACATTTAAAGACAGTTGATATTGAAAAGTGAAGTTAAACAGGAGAATAAAAAAAATGACTTCCAGAAATATTTTTATATATGGGTATAAGGAAAATTTGCTCTTAAGTTATTACCTTTACTCAATCTAATATTGTAGATTAGACAGGGGTGACTGTAAGTTCAAATGTCTTAAAGTGACTTAGGGGCAATGTTGTTGGGACAGCATATGAACTAGGCCTTCGAATGTCCCTTTTATCTTGCACATTCTGTATGCTATTCATGAATATTTTAATGAATGCTTTTACCATACCCCAGAACGTCCTGTTGACTATGTCTTTGTGTTGTTGGACAGAAAAGTTTTGAACAACTGGACTCCCAGAAATAAACATACACACTGTCAGTGAAACTGATATATTTTAAGACAAACTGGAAAAAACAGTTCACTGGTTAGAAGGCAGGATCCACCCCAAAATGCAGTTGGTCCTGGGATGAGGCCGGAAAGTATACCGTTAAACTTTAAAAGAGACCCTGTTATGTAACATAAACATGTATGTCTATAAATGAGTAAAGCCCAGCAAGGGAATTTGACTAACAAGACATGAGTGAATCGCGGGTGAGGTGAGTGGGAGGGAAATGAAAACGAGAGAGAAGAGACAGAAAATGAGAAAGAGAAACTGAACACACATGAAGACAGGGAGTGACTGACTCATGAACACAACTCACTTCCACTATGAGTGCTCTCTAGCAAAATACCGTCTTCACTGGCAAGCCATTGAGAAGAGAAATTCAACATTTTATGTATATGGGAAATCACTGCTATGACTAAAGGCATATTTTAAAATAGTTCAATATCCTGAAGGAAATATAAAAAATTCAAAAAAATGAAAAACAAGACATATCACAAATCTTTTTATATAAAAATTATGAAATTAAAAAAACCTTAGAGTTCATTTTCCTAGAATTATGCAATATTTCAAAAAATAATTTTTTAGTTACATATCACAGTTTTTGAATAAAAGAAAATATTCCTACCGTTTTTTCAATGATGTCTTTTTCTTTCTTCTGCTGAAGAATTGGCTGAAGTGGTGGGAATTCCCCTGTGCTTTGTTTAGTGCTGGTATCTTGCCCAAGGTGGTAAGCGGCTACGATCTGAATTGGGGTGAGGATGTCTCGCACGTCTTTCTAAGGAAATTTAAAACCATATGAATTAAAAATAAAAAGCAGCATGCAATTTAAAAAATAGAGAGCTCCTCCTTTTCTGCATTAGGCCAAACAGAAGGAAGTCAAGAAAATTCTTACCTTTTAATCAAACTTAAGAAAACCTGAATGTATATACTTTTCACATTACAAAAACATTTGTTTTTTGGAAAAAACACAAAAACAGCATAAAAAATGGAAAAATATAATCATCCAATAATATATACAGGTCTACATTTGGGAATATTTTCTTCCATGGTATTTTCTATGCATACTTTTTATAACTTACATTATAACATAATCATTTTCCATTATAAACTCATTGTAAATCATTCCAAAGCCCTAATGAACATTTTATTCTATTTAACATTGCCCTCTAGTAGGCTTGTACAAATACAATCTCTCAATTTATTCAAGTTTTCTTTTTAGATCTTTCAGTACATTTTGATGTAATTTGATTCATTTGATTTCATATCTATTATGAAACATATTCTTTATGAACTGTTTCCAATTATACTTTTTAATGGGCTATGAATAGTATATAGCAAGTTACTTTTTTATTTTTTATTTTTCCACTGAGTCTATACAAAAATAATTCTCTGTATATATTATGTCCAGGAGATTTGGTGCTTTATTATTATTATTATTATTATTTTATCTTTATTGTTGAAAGTATTACAG